TCAAATGCGACCCTGATTTCCCATGATACCTGATACACTCTCGGGCGTCCATCACTGATGCAAACGCATCAAACAGTACGAAATGCGTTAAGAGGTAGGTTAAATTTGCTTTGTCAGTTGAACTGTCAAGTCAGATTTCGCGAGCAAAATATCCACACAACATGTTTTGTGACAGACAAGCCAAGGTTAGATCTGCTGGGTCTCGACTGGATGCATGAGTTGAAATTGCTAAATCAATCATTGAACAGCATATGTTAGCAACCGCAAGTCAATCAATTGTTACTACCGGCATTTAAAAGCCGATGGGTTCAGAGCCACGGTTCAAAGATGAAACGATGGCAAAAGGATAAAATTCGAGTGGACCGGGTCAATCACTTCAAAATCGGTGAAATGAAGTACGTGAGAGATTTCCGTCGACCGAGCAGGTAGTCGACAGAGTCATTGATGGGGAGAAATGGTGGAGTCCATTACGAACTAACGGTTGGAAACAAAAGCGGATCAGGCACGCAGATCAGCGGAGGCCGAAACATGGCAACATTCAAGGGCCCGCAGACGACATACAACGAAGACCGAACAGGAGGAGAAGAAAAGCATCCATATAATTGATTGATGTCAAAACAAAATATCGGAGTGGAAGCAAGCATGCATGGTGGGGAAACAGCTTCATTTCGGAGGAGGAGGTGTAACGGAAGCGATACGGCTGACTACGATGGTGCGCTCTAGCAGGCTGCAGGACGTGACACGATTTCCGCTGAGTCATGCCGGAAGCTGATGAAATCAACTCGCCACCATCGCATGGTTGTTATGGTGTGGACGTGATCCTACCCACAGTCAGATAGTGAAGGCCGCTACCAGGGTCGAATCTGTTCAGACAAGTGATGTGCTTCACCTCGGTGACAGACACGCGAGCTATCGATCGAGCGCAGGTGGAGTTAGGGCGACTCCGGTAGACGGCTGCTTACGTGTGCGGTCCTTGGCCTGACAGCAGCTGTAGTAGTAGATGCAATGTATTCTCCTGTAGTTGCCGTACGCAGCAACGGATAAGAACAGTTATGGAGTTATTAGTATCTATAGAGAGCTTCAGGAATTGGTCATAATTTGCTGTGGAGGATGCAAGGCCAATGTACTTTACGCGCGCGTTTTAGGAGAAATAGCGCACAAATTAAAAATAAACAGGAGATGCTAATCCGCTATACGTTGCTTCAATATATCTGGAACGTGGAGTCAGATTGAATGAGCGTATGTGAGCTGGGTTGCGATAACAATCGGAGATACGGTAGCGAAAAGTGTCGGGACAGGAAAATATTCCGACTACAGGTAATTAAGATTGCGCGTCGCAATCCGTTCACAAAACGAGCGCTTCAAAATGGCACTAAAACCAGCCATTAACCTTTGTGACAAGCTTTGCCCGTCGTGACCCGGTAGTCAAAAGAGTAGAGGTCCCATCTAACAGCCTATTGGCCCCAGGTTTTACGCTCATTATCTCCACCGATTGGTGTCAAACAAAGCAGAAACACGTGGTAGATCGCAATGTATTCCGGTAGGCAAGATCCAGTTTCAACCTGCTTCAGCTACAGTTCTGGTGGTCGGGTTGACCAAGGTTCATTTTAATGCGAATCAGGTTCTACAATGAGATCACGCGTGACATTCTAATCACACAACTAGCACTTTAAAAGGACCCTCTAATCTATAAAAGCCAGTAATTTTACTGAAAAGAGCGGAACTTATAGTTTTGCGTGTCTTTGACACAGTAGTTTTGTTCTCGTAATTGCACAGCACGTGTAGATGAAGGATAGTAAATCCAAGGTTTTCTGAACATATAGAATCGAGCGAAAATGCAAGGTGGCAAAATGGAGGTGGGTGAGTGCGAAATGCATTCGTGTTTTAAATATGGTTAGTGTTTTGCGGAAATAACGTATTCGGGAATTGAGCTTTAGGGGACACATACATAGACTGCATCAGCTGTACCGTTCTACAAGCATCAAGTAACGATCTTAGAAGAACTTTAGAACCGATAGAGAGGTCATGAGATCCTGGAGATTTGGAAACCATCGGGTAGTGCAGTTGTTGAGCAATGTTTCGCTTTTGACACAAAAGCGTCACCAGGCCAGGTGGAAAAGTGTACTATAGAAGTGGTAATGACGATAACAGGAAGATACGTCAGTGTTACTATACAGACCAGAATGTCGCTTCAAGTGATTTCAGTCACAGAAGCAATAGCCTAGGTATTCCCTTTTGAATGACCGCATTGACAGATAAGCCCATGGTGGTGACGATTTTCGCTTACTACCCGGAATCGCTCAACAACGATTGTCAGATTGCAGAATAAAGATCACTAGCCATGCACTTGAGAGTTCCACCCCTCCATTCTATTCATGCATCTGTAGGCTTGGCTAGTTCCACTGCCTCGGTAATTAACGGCTGGAGAGTTGCCCATACACCCATTCTAATGAACCCTACATTATCCAAGTCGACCTTTGACCTGTGTCTAATGCATGCGCAGCCACAGTCGAGTCTCTTAGTAACGCTCGGTATTCAAACACTTTCGTTGATAGTCGTGAAATGAGCTTCTTTGCTCCGAAATTCGCATGCGCAGTTCTCTTGCGGTTTGTCTTATGCAAAATCTTCACATTTAATTATATAGATGCAGTTGGTTATTCCATCCTTGAGAAGGGAGTTATTCACATGCATCAGCGCTGAATGTGGTGCTTGGTGAAACATCATTCATCTATTCCCCCAGTTTAATACCTCTGAACTGCCTTCGAGGTTCCTTCCTTCTGCGGAATTCCTACCATGCGTTGTGGGTCTTGACCATGGGCTAAGCCCTTTATGTAACTGTCAAATGACTAACCGCCGTGATTAACCGCTATCTAACAGTTTGTCCACAGCCTCTTTCCGCGGGGTCTTTCTGTCCTCATCCATGGTGCACTGGGTCCATGACATGTAGTGCAACGTTTAGGCTGTCGCAGCGTAAACCTGTTTTAAATGGTTCGAGGTGTAGTGGAGTACTTCCATGGTAGTGTACCGTTACAAGACTCCAACTTAATCCTAAACGCTATGCTATTTAACAACCACAAATGTGTTGTCTACATAGTGCCACCAAACCTTTAGTGAGCTAGCGGTGTTTGTTAACGTCTTGTTCATGAAGTCGTTCAAATACAAGTTTGCCAGTGAAAGGAGATATTCGCCATCTCATGCGAAGGTCGTGTTCCTGGCTATTCGGCATCTGCTGAAAAACGAAGTATGACATGTTAAGTTAATGTTTCATACCCTCGACTATTTGGCCAACGGTAAGTTTTGTTCTACCACCCAGAATGCTGTTTTCATGTAGGTTCATGTTACAGCTGTTGCGATAAAGAGCGTCACAAATGGTTTGTTAAAAGACAGCCTTGGAGTCGCCTAACTGTATCGCGCCAAACTCGATTGTACTTTCCCTTCCGAGCAACAACTGTTTTGCCACACTTCTACATGCGTGCTCCAGGATCCACGGACTTGGATGCAAAGTGATAACGTTGAGAGCTTGCAGTCGCCCGTGCAGCCATAATACGTATGTGTAACGAAGCAAACTACATGGTATAAAATTAGTCCATGTAAATTGTGAAGGTGGTGTGGTAACATTGGTGAGGTAGAGCCCAGTTCGATAATTGATCATCAGCCCTTCTCGTGGCATGAAAAGCAACGGAAAAGAAAAGCGACCAGTGGAAGTGAGTTTAGCTGAAGACAGTCAATAGATAATGAAAGCGGTCCACTGGGTGTGACCCAAATGCAAGTGACTGCAGCAACCGCGCACGTAGTTTTCATCAACTCTACAGATTTATGACGAAAATAAACTAGCCCCGTCATACATTTCCATGTTGACAGTTTTACCTGCTTGGACGCGTCACATGCAGCTTACTACAAAACTGATCGATAACGATACACTTTGACACACTTAGTTATGTGCTAGCTGTGGAGATCAATGGTGAGTGCCATTATAGTGGAGCCGATGATGGTTTGCGAATGATGGCCGCATGACCGATCCACCGTGTTCACATTTGGTAACCCTGTAATTTGAAACATACTACGGTAGGTAACTGAGCAGTGTTCACACCGATAACCTGTTTAGTTGGTGCGATAGCAATCAGGTGTTTACCCAGAGCCTCCTCACAAGGATCCATGACGTAACAGGGTAACATGCAATAACAGCTGATAAAAATGTCGTCTCATGTCATCGAACGCAGGAACAGTTTGATTTTGCAACTGACAGCGAAAGCGGGTGTGTACCACATCCTTTAACACACTGCCGTATTTCATGTTGTATTAAGCCCTCTTTATCCCCTTCTGGCAAGTGGCCGAAGAGAAACCCACTGTTCCCATGGGACCAAAGGTGACGGCTATTCAAGTTAAGCAGTGCGTAAGTTCCCTATAACTGCTGAATGCAGCCACGTGAATGCGAACAAGTGAACGCAACAGTGTGAGTAATCACACTGAATATCCTTAGTCAAGGAGCCTACTGAGAAAAAACGGTTAGTGGTAAACAAACTATATGCCCCCCAAACCATTGTTGAGAATGTGGAAAACATTTTCCTCGACTAGTTCTATCTTCCACCCACGGGTGCACTATCAAAAGCAATCTAAGCACTGTGGAGATGAAGATCATCGCTCAGGTTTTTGTGTGGAATTTCGTTGCAGACTATGAACAAACAGGTATTAAATTTATTCCGTTGTTCACTGCTTCCATCCTGCGAGCAGGCGTAGATCCTAGCTGCTAGCCAATGAGTTATATCCCATAAGTCAGCTACAACAACAACTACTACTACTCATGCATAAAGTATGTAAGATCAGCAAGCGTGCCACGTAAACCAAACCCAATGCTCAAGTTGTAGACTACGAGTTAGTCTATTGTTTTCCTGATTTAACTGAATTCCCCAATGCACTACGCCATATACGCTCTCCTGGTCATCGTGAGCACAGTTCAAGTTGCGAGATTAATGCTTGTATTGTCTTTTATCTTGTTTCAGTTTTACTATCGAGCGAAACTTCTCAAAACAAAAATAACAGAAACAACGGAAAATATTTGCGAGCAATTCAGAGACGATCACTGGGAATATTGCGATGGCACTCCAAGAGAAGCCAAGATACTGAGTGATATTTTAAAGGTAGGTGCCAACCAAGCTGTGATTTTAGTTTTTCTGTAAATGCGCAATCGAAGTAGGACTCTTTGTTTCCTTGCACGCTGAGTGAGATTCAATTGTACTTGCTAGGCCCCCAGCAGACACGTTTGTGGATCGCAGAGACAGTACTCGATGATCTGAAAGGGCTGATTCGGTTAGTGCAAAAACTGTTTCCTAATGTGCTGGCTTAGATGATGGTAGTATCACATAAGAAGTAGAATCGCATACACGGAAAAGCGGAGAGACGGCTTTACGCACTGATCGAAACGCAGCAGTGAACGTTTCCAGTGATATCTCGGTAGCTTTCGATGTTCAGGTTAAAACCATATGGAGGACGGAGTTGACTGTTAACCGATGCCTATCTGAAAGTCATCACCAGTGAAGTGGTTGACTCGTAGTTTATAAGCGCTTAAAAAGGACATGCTAGCTGTTTATAAGGCAACAGGATTCATGATAAGTAGAGAGAGGAGTTAACCATTTATGTTGACTTTCGGGTTGAAGAAATCACGGTAGATTGATATTCTAGTGGACCGTAATGCACTCTGTATTCCATTGAGTCCGCTGAATTCACGTCATATGATCAGTCGGTTTTGATTTGTTCCGGATCAAAAAGTTGACCATGCGGAAACAGATAAGTGAAATGGAGCAGAACTATCACCTTGCACTTGCGAAGACAATCTGACCATCTGGTGTTGTACACGGCAAGTGGATCTACAGCGATGCACTCATTGACTACAGTGAGTAGGGAGTTGAATGATGTGAATGCTGAAAAAAGAGGAAGCATGAAAACACTTTGTATGGAAGTGTGCCGTAAAACCATCGAACACACTGACACGTAACGTCAGGGAGACAGAATCCACATTTTGCAGCTGGACCAAATTGGAAATGTAATGAGATTCTAGGTTCCGAGATATACAGTCGGAGTATAGATCGGTGATCTATAGGAGAGAGTGCGAATGCTCTTTACACTGGCGTTACACGAATACATGTTTCATTTGTTATTGTCAGCTTCTCGATATGTAGTGGTACAACCATGATCTGCGTCACTTTGGGAAGCGAGGTAACGAATGGAATGGCATTTATACGCCAATCACTGCAAAGTCAAGTAGGTTTATTCGGTAGCTACGAGATTAACTGGCGTGTTAAAGAGAGCATGAGTTCTGCATGTGATTAAGTTTTGCACAGTTGCATTATCATAAATGACTTACAGATTTTTAGTAGCTTCACATCGCATTCGACTGCATTGGTTAGCCATGGTTAGTCGTGATTAAGCGAATATGTCAACCATGATACTGAGACTGTATTTAAGAGCAAGTAGAAAGGTTTCTGTACAACTCTAACGAATTACGAAAAATCAAAAACATCTAGTTGTGAATCATCAGCAGTTGTGTCTGCTCCGTTAATCGTTTATCCTTGTTCGGTTAGGAATTTGTACTAGTGTCATTATTTCCGGGCACACAATGTCTTCTTTTGGCATTGTATGTGCATCGTTTCACAAAAGCACAGGTTTCCGAAATAATCGTCGATACGGGTTTTAAAACACTTCACAGAATCGGCTTCTATTAATCCTTCTGGTAGTGTATTCCATAAGTTTACGATTCTGCGTTCGATACAAAGCTGATGTGATACTTTGTTCATGCATTCTTAACCTGTGCGCTCAATGACGACATTCAGAGGCAACTTTGAACTAGTTGCGTCCAATTTAATGTTCTAACTGAGCCGTGCACGTGATTTGAGTATGTCATTTCTGGGCAGCGTCTTTCACAGTGCACTTCGCTATCATTTGTCTGACTGATGGAAGTAGGTCAACTAGCCCACGTGACAACTTGTGGTACGAATGAAGGGCTGGCAAATACTAGTCCGAGACAATGCGCGAAATTAAGTGCATATATCAGAAGGCAATTGGAGTCGGGCACAGCAGACTGTATTCGATTGGCTGGAAGAAGACGCGGACGGATGAAACGAGACAGGAGCAACACGCTAGCGTGGGAACTTACAAGACGGTCAAGTGACGAGCCGGTTGTAAGGAAGATTGAAACAAGAAAGAATACTATACAATTGGTCAACAATGAAGTGGTACATAAAATATAGCAGTTATCTTCTTGGGCGCTGCCGAGCTCCCCCATAGAAGGCTGAACATGGAAACCCTTCGATATCGAAATGGCAGGTGAATCGAGGTTCGTAGGGCAGAATCGTGCCGTGTAAGAATGAGTGAGCGTTCGTGTCAAATGGGGTTCGCCGGAAGTCTGAGTCCGCTGTGCCATTTGTGAGTTATCATTTATTGATTACAGGGCAGGGTGCATTTCGGCGAGCCGTTGGAGCGAGTTTGTTAGACTTCAAAAATTGGCTAGCCCAGAACAAAGGCCGACAGGACCTCAATCTCCGCTGCTGCCAAACGGTGCGCTTGGGAGTGCTCTCTCTCCCCGCCGCACACCGCTCCGCGGGTCAAAACGACCCTCGTCCCACGGAGAAACGACCATCGTCCAACGAAGAAACGAACCTTGTCCCGAGGAAAAACGATCCGCGTCCGGCTCCTCGTTGACTGTGGCAACCCTCGAAAACGCCGCTCGCGAGGGCCAGTCAATCGAACAATGAACAATGATATGTTACAGGTAAAAAAGTGATTGTCTTCCAAGTCCCGTAGGGTGGATGAAGTGGAAGCAAACATGTATAAATCGTCAATTTAATGGTCTAGCGATTCAGATGCCCTGCTTCATTCAAAAATTTTAGAATGGGTATTGAATTGTTACTGCAGAGTAATATGGGGAAGTAATATGGGGAAGGTATGTCTTAAAAACAAAAGAAACGACAACGCTTACTCGTGCGCCGCTTTCTTCCACTGAGCTAATTGATGACTCCAGTTGTGGTATGCTCGAACAATAGTCCACAGCAGCAGCGTGTAAGTAGTGAAGCACAAAAGCTGAGAATGAGCACCGTTTGTCCGCGTTTAGTTGACGCAGACATCTCTGATTATATAGCGTAATGTAAATGGATAAGCGAATCATCCAGAAGTCTTTTGAATGCCGTTAGCGTGGGGGAATAAACAACATATGTGGGAAGAGCGTTCCAGTGTTGGCACACACGAAGGAAAAAGAAAGTCCGGGGACATTCCAACCGGCTGTATTGTGTGGCTAGCTTTAGCTGGTGTCCTCTGAGTGTGGTATTGCGATTCAGCTTTAGTAGGTGACGACAAGAATGGTTTGAGTTCCTCAGGATCATATAAGTCATTATCAAGTCGCCACGCAGGCGTCGATATTGTCCACTGTAGACTCCGAGGGTTTTCAGCCCCAATCGGTAAGGGAGGTTAAACATGCCCTATATGTTCTTGGTCGCCCTCGTTTGTGGCAGTTCAGGAGCGGTAAGGTCTTGCTTTTGCCATGGCTGCCAGGCGTGGATGTCGTACTCAGAATGGGGTCCAAAGTAGACGTTGAGCATCTGAGAAAAGATGGAAGGATCAAAGCACCCGAATGCCCTACGCAATAGGCCAAGATCTTGGTTTATTTTTTTGGAGCCTTTCTCGGCCTGACGGGAACAGCCCAGATCTTTCTGCACTATCACGCCTAGATCGCATTCCGTTGAAGTGCGCTGCAATATTTGATCCCCCACTCTGTATTCACAAGTGGTTTTACGGCGTATGCTCAACACCTTGCACTTCGTAGCGTTGAACTGAAGCAGGTTCTGAGACGACTATTCGTAGATCCTGTCAACGTCATCCTGAAGTGCTGCATTGTCACTGGTTTTTCTAATGGCTCGCCATATCTTGAGATCATCAGCGAAGAGTAAGGAGTTGGAGGTGATTCCTGTCCAGAGACCGATTATGTACATCAGGAATAGTCGTGGACCAAGTACTGAGCCCTGGCGCACTCCGCACTTAACATCGATTGGGTCAGAGATGACGCCGTGAACTCTTACACTCAGATGTCGTTGAAGCAAGAAGTTACCTATCTAACCAAAGATTGGGTCACCAATTCCACAGCATTTCAGCTTGTGAAGGAGCATACGGTGGTTCAGACGGTCAAAGGCCCTTGAGAAGTCCAGATATACTGCATCAACACCTACGCCGCTTTCGACGGTCTTAGTCCAACTGGATCTAGCAAGTAGCAAATTTGAAGTGCAAGATCGGTTCTTGCGAAATCCATGTTGTTCTTGTGCTATGATATTGCGATCCTCCAAGACGTTCATCAGCGCTTCAGCAACGATCGCTTCCATGATTTTGGAGAGCACCGGAAGTAGTGTTATCGGACGATACTTGGTGGGATCTGTACGACTTTCCCATTAAGGATGGGAGTGACGATGCCCTGCTTCCACATTGTTGGCACTCACATCTCATCGAGGCATCGTTGGAAGAACTTGCAGAGTGGGTCCGCCCAGTTTACTGCAGCCAATTTCAACGCCCTTGGACGAATATTATCAACGCCGGGGGAGGTATGCCCGTGAAGACCAATTAGCCTTTTCATAACATCCGCAGCCGCAAACACAATGTGGCTAAGTCCTGATGGTGATACAAGGTGGGGAACAGTGCTTGCGGCGCTGTCGTGCTCTGGAAGTTTGGGGCGAATTGTTGACATAGGGCACTGGCCGCCTCGGTTGCGGTTTGTGTAAGTCCATATGACGTGTGTAAGGCAGGAATTTCTCGCTGCACTTTGCGGAGCTTGTTAATGTGTCTGTAGAGGAGCTTGGGTTTTGAAAGAAATTGCTCAGCTAGATTCTGTCGGTACTGTATTTGCTCTACACGTACCAGGTTTACGCAGTAGTTCCTTTGGATAGTGTAGGCTTCCCATGCTTCGGCACTCGTGGCTCCTTGTATCTTCGCCAGAGTAAATTCCCTGTGACCATACACTTCCGTGTCTTGCTGTGTATGAACGATTTTACTGTCTTCGCTCGCGAAGGTCTTTTCCCAGAAGGACTAATTACTAACATGTTGAATTGGTGCGCAAAATCATACCAGGCGACATCGGGGTATCGTTCTGCTAGAAATACCCAGT